GGAGCAGGCGCGGGGCTCAGAGCAGGCGCGGGCAGCGCTGGGAGGATGCTGTATCCACCCCAAATTTCACAGCAACTCAGCTCCCAGTTTAGGGTGGATACAGCATCCTCCCAGCGCTGCAGGTGCCCGCTCTGAGCCCAGCCTCCATGGAGAAGAGCCCCATGCAGCCCCAGCTGCTGATCTGGCTCAACGCCCTGCCTCTACACACGCGCCAGGAAGAGCCAGGGCAGCACTGGGAGGCTGGCAGCAGCAGTGCTGGGAGCTGAGCTGCAGCGAAATTTAGGGTGCATGCAGCAGCCTCCCAGCACCGCTGGTGCCCACTCCAAGCCAGCCCCCACCAAGAAGAGCCCCACGCAGCCCTGGCTGCAGCCCACCCCGTGCTGCCCTGGGCTGGGCAGTGCCTACCCCTGCCCCCTCCCTCACCACAAGGGGCATTGATCTGCCCCTGAACACTCCTTCCCTCCCCTTCTACCATAATGGACCAACCAGCTGGAGGCAGCTCTCCACACTGCTGGCTGTGCTTCTGGCTGCCCAAGTGCTGCGCTGAGGCTGCGCGCAGCACGAGCATTTATCAGTCAAATTATCGGCCCCACTGAGCCGATACCCAATACAGCAGTTTCTTTATATCAGTACCAATGTATTGGTGCACCTCTAGTTCTGAGATTTTTCTTTGGGGCTATAACAAGATCCAGAGCCTTGGCTGTTTGGACTACAATCTCAAGGAAAGGCTTGAAGGCTTTTTGCAGCAACACTGAATATGGCACCTTGCTTGGAGGAATTCATTTTCTTCCTATATTCATCCTTCTTAGTAAGGGAACTTGAAGAAAAGGATTTAGACACAGAATCACTCATTAAAGGACCTTCTCTCTAAACTACTCAAAAGGAAGTTAAAGATGGGCACCACACAGCTTCCCCAAGTTGCCAGAGTATCCTAAAATGGAACTGTCTGTTATACCTTGGATTGTATAGTACAATGTACCAGATTTAAAGACAAAAAACAAACACACCCAAACACAAATGGCAGGGGACTTCTGGTAGAAGTGCCAGTTTTGCCACTGTTCAAGGAACTGTCTGTAAAAGGAAGTTACTGTTTACCTGAATTAAACCAGCTTTCTTTCTCTGTGTACCTAAGCTCCATGGCAGAGTCAAATGGGACCAACCCCTTCATAACCTTAACTCCTCATTCAGGTGACAAGGACAGATCAACACATCTTGACTTAGAGTACAGTAGTTCACATTGTCTAAAATTTCTGCCTTTAGGCTCTGTAAAAACTTGACTGCTGCAGAATGGGAAGCTAGATCAGGGAGGAAATTTAAATGAGAGACTTAATTACTTAAAGAGGTTACAGTTTAAGTCAGGAGCGGGCAATTATTTGGGCTGACAAGCTACATAGGCAGTTTTGGGGAACTGTTGTGGGCCAGTCAGCAGCCTGCCTCCCCCAAACAGCCCCAGAGCCTGCACACCCTGCGGCTCCTCCCTGCCACTGAAACTAGCACCCAGCAGCAGCTGAGCACACAGTCCCAGCTTTGGACTGCCCCGTATCCACTCCAGACTCACCCTGGCCAGAGCAAACAACATCCAGACTAGTCAAGACCTGTGTGCACAGCCCCAACCCCAGCCCACTCCAAGCTGGCCCGCCCACAATGAACAGTGGCAGTGGCCAAGCAGAAGCTGCTGCTGGGTATGGGGGAAAATTGGCCGCCTTGCTCTCGCTGCTGCTGGGCCATTCTTGCTGCAGCCTCCTGGAGCCCATGCCCGGGCTGCCCTACAGCTCCTCTTGGCCACTGTCACCGCCACCTCTTGGCCACCGTCACCGCCACCTCTTGGCCACCCAGCAGGGCAGCAGTGGCAGTAAAGAGAGCTGCAGGGCAATCAAGGCGCAGGCTCCAGAAGGCTGCAGCAAGAAGGGCCCAGCAGCGGCGATGGGAAGGCAGCTGCTTTTCCCCTGAGCCGACCAGCAGCTTCTGCCTGGTCACTGCCGCCACTTATTGTAAGTGGGAGGTCTGGAGCAGGTGTGGGTTGGGCCAGGGTTGGGGCTGTGCACATGGGTCCCAGCTGGTCCACTCCAGTTGGGGCAGGTCTGGAGTGGGCAAAGGGCAAGGAGGGCTGGACCCAGGCCAGGGGTGTGTGCATGGATCCCCACCAGTACCATAGGGTTGCGGCCAGTGGCAGTGGCAGCCAGAAGGAGCTCGGGGCCCACCGAGAGGGCCCTGCCACTGTCTGGGCTGCCTAGAAATATAATCCAACTGCCAAGCTGCCCCAGCCCTGCTGCACACGTGGGGGCAGCAAGACACACCATGGGCATAACAGCACCTGGGCCAGGTGGGACCAAGGGACCTGCAGTGGGCCGGACAAATTCCCTTTGCAGGCTGAATACAGCCTGCAGGCCATATTTTGCCCACTCCTGGTCTAAGTGGTAACTATTCTGAGGAACCACGTTGTCAAATTTTTCAAGGACTGATGGAAACTCCTACTGCTAACTTCCTCCGAACAGATGAACAAACTCTGTTGGCATTTATGCTCCCATTTGAACTCCTTCATTGATCATTCTGAACTAGATTCTTGAGACTTCCCATTCCACTTCTTTTCTCCATCTGTTACTATGGAGAAAAATAGGTTCTTGGTATCATCCTACCTTCCCTCAATTCTGACCTAGTATGACAGATCCTGCCCCCCCCCCCCTTTGGATCCAGTGTCCATGCCAAATTATAAGATGACAGTTTCTGTTCCAATAACATCTGCATAATGCTGACCATGAAGATAAAACATACACACTCATACCTTTGAACTCAGACACTGATGAACTGTTCAGTTTTGAAGAGCAAGGACAAGGACTCAAGTCTTCGTCCATTAAGATAATTTCCCTCTGCCCTACTATGCTCCAGAGACACAAGGCTACACAGGATGAACACCTAATGGGAAAATATTTCTCTTATAAGCATTACTCACACCAGCACACTGAGTGGCACTTGACAGTAAACTCGGTAAGAAACAAGTTTTATGAACATGGCCTCTCATTCCAGGTCAGCCATACTTCCAAAACAAAACATAAAACAGGGCAAACTACAATTCTATTTTAAAAATTAAAAACCAGAACTATGTTGTACTACACAATAGAAAAGCTTAAATAAATGTAAAATAACCATGAGATGAGTTTGAAGAAGAGGAGTTCCCAGCTGCACAAAAAAAAAGTTGAAAAAGAAAACAAAAACGTGTGCCTACTCCAGGGCAGTGGAGGCCAACCTTTTTGGCAGGCTTACCACAAATTAGCCCCACACCCTCCCTGAGTACCACACTAATCCCCTGCCCAGCTTTCTACTCCCTGTCCTACCTGTACTGTGCTGCTTGTTCCTTCTCTGGGTTGCCATGTGCCACACACATGCTGGCCATGCTACTTGTAGCATGTCTGCTACAGGTTAGCCATCCCTACTCTAGGGTCCTGGAACTTTGATCCTGACTAGGTTTAGGTACTTCCTGTGCAGCTGCATTGCTATCAGTCAGAGCCCAGCACACAGCTTGCATATTATGACACTGAAAATCTAGTAGAGACTTCTTTGTAGCTGTTCTCTCTTTCCATCTTCAAGGAATATAATAAGTAATGAGTCTAACAAAATATCCTGGTAAAACATTGTGGAAACATGAAAACAGACAGAGTTCAAGCACCCTGCTCCAAACTACAGAAGAAGTCTGGTTGAAAGATAATAGAGGAAACTCAAATTCTCTAAGTTCAAACCACATTCCTCTAAGAAAGGGATCCAAGAATGATGGGAGAACCGACATATCCATCCATAGTCTTCAGAATTCCTTTACAATGCTCAAACCCCAATGACATCCATCACATAACTCCTTATATTCCCAGGGAAGCTGCACTGCTTGCTGACAGTGGGGTTCTCTCATTAGAAAAACTCCAAAATATTTTCCCAAGGCTCTCCTTACCAAAAAACCCACAATTATTACTATATCTACTAAATTTATTTCACCTCTGTCTTGTCTAGTACCATACAGAAGTCGTGAGAAAACACAAACTGCTCTTTCTCTAGCCCTTAACAGCAAACATTGAGTATATATTCTGATCTCAGAAAAGCCTATTACTGTATGTGCCAAATAGTGTGGGTTCTAGACACATTGGAGGAAGCAAATTTCATAGTGGAAAGGCTCATGCTACAGGTGTTCTATTTACTACCCAGCATAACGAATTGAAAACAAAATATCCTTACGCTTTTTGCCATTGATGTGATCCAAGAAGTTGATAGAGTCTTTTACCACACAGTCACATACATTGCAGTAATATCTGGGGAAGAAAAGAAGAAATGGGTTAGATCCAAAGCACAAGACTAAAATGATCCTACCAGAATTTCTGTTTCAAGCCAAGCAGAGGAAAAAAAAATCCACCTGGATTTTCTAGGGCAATTCCAAGGAGCAGCTCTAAGGTGAGAAAAAAAAAAACCTCAACCCCCTCCCCCTCCCCAAACCAAAACCCCATCCCTCAGAGAGACAAAGCTAGAATCGTAGTTAGTACTATTAAGTGCTCAGAAATACAGCACTGATACATCGGTCCAACATTGGATTGGCACTGATATAAAGAAAATTGACTGTATCAGAAATCAGCCTGAAGTGGCTGCTAATTTGACTAATAAATGCCCGTGTACATGCACAGCCACAGCACAGCACACAGGCAGCAAGGAGCACAGCCTGGCAGCTTGGAAAGCTGCATGCAGCTGGTAAGTCTGTTGTAGTGGAAGGGATGTGGGGAGGGAAGGGCCGTGGGGAGGCAGATCAACCACTCCCCCGCGGTAAGGGAGGGAGTGGGGATCAGGCTGGGGTAGGTGTTGCCCAGCCAGAATGGGGCAGGCACAGGACACAGCTGCAGCTCATCCAGGGGGCATAGCAGGAGGTGGACGGCGGCTCCTGCCACTGCACACATGTCGTCCACTTGTCCAGCAGCTCTTGCCACTTGTCGGTGGGGGGAAGGGGCGTGTGCCCCCAGATCTGTGTGGACATCTGGCTTGCAGCTGCAGCCAGGGGCTGTGCTGTGCTGTGCTGTGCTTAGGGTGGGTGGCGCTGGGACAGGGTACGGGGGAGGGCTACGGTGAAATTTGGGGTGGCTGCAGGCCTCTCCCTGCCTCCCATACCCCTGCCCAGCACTGCCACTGCCCGCCCCAAGTGCAGCATGGCCCAAGCCCACAGCTGCAGCCTGCCCTATGCAGATGCAGGGGCACACGCCCCACCCAGTGCCCTCCCAGATGAGTGGTGGGAGCAGCAGCAGAAGCCACCTCCCCAACACACACACCCCCCTTGGCTTCATCCCGTGCCCTTCCCCAAGCCCAGCCCCAGCCCCCGCCCCTCCCTCACTGTCTTTCCCTCCCCACTCCCTTTTTACCACAATGGACTTACCAGCTGCACGTAGCTGTATTGAAAATCGGATCAGTATCAGCCAATATGCCTCCTTAAAAACTGGCTATCAGTATTGGCCCCCAAAACCTGAACTTAAATTAGCAATGGAAATCAAGGGCAACAAGAAGTCCTTCTTTAGGTACATAAAGAACAGGAGGAAAACAAATGGGAGCGTAGGGCCACTGTTCAACAACTCAGAACAGCTGGTTACCAGCACTCAGGAGAAAACTGAACTCCCAAATGACTACTTTGCTTCAGTATTTCACCAGGCCCAGGGGAAAATCATGCCAGGTAGGGTAAAGAATGGGCATGGTAGGAATGACTGCCTTACTACTATTGCTGTAGAACTGGTGCGTGATCAATTTAAAAAAATGAGACATATATAAGTTAGCAGGACTGAATGAACTTCATCTGAAAGTGCTGAAGGAACTGGGCGAAGTCATCACGAAAGTCCTGGTGAAACTCTTCCAAAATTCATGGCACTCTGGAGATGTCCCTGAGGACTGGAAGTGGGCCAACGTTGTGCCCATCGTCAAGAAGGGAAGGAGAAAGGATTCGGGTAACTACAGGCCAATCAGCCTAACCTGTATCCCAGGCAAAATCCTGGAAAAATTCATTAAAGAGTCTATGTGTGATAGGCTTTCAGAAGGCAGGATTCTGAATGACAGCCAGCATGGCTTTGTCGTGGGCAGGTCTCGTCTTACCAACCTCATCTCCTTCTATGATCAGGTAACTCGCCACCTGGATAAGAGAGAGGAGGTTGACACTGTATACCTTGACTTCCAAAAGGCCTTTGATCTAGTATCCCACAATGTTCTCATGAGAAAATTGGAGGATTGTGGGCTTAACTGCATGACAGTTAGGTGAGTAGAAAGCTGGATGTGAGGTAGGGTCCAGAGAGTTCCAAAGAACGGAACTGTGACCCTCAGGGGTTGCTGCTTGGTCCAGTGCTTTTCAACATCTTTATCAATGATTTGGATGTGGGGGTGAAGAGCTCACTGGCCAAGTTCACGGATGACACCAAGTTATGGGGAAGCATGGTCATGTTTGAAGATAGGCTGCAGATACAGGCGGACCTAAACAGGCTAGCAAGTTGGGCAGATTGGAACCACATGAAGTTCAACATCAAGAAATGTAAAGTGCTCCACCTGGGGACGAACAATCCCCTAACACACCTACAGGCTCGGCAGCACCAAACTGACCAGCATCACAAATGAAAGGGACCTAGGGGTAATAATAGACCACAGCATGAACATGAGCTGTCAGTGCAATGCTGTAGCCAAAAGGGCAAATAATACCCTGGCATGCATCAATCGATGCATCTCAAGCAAAACCAAGAAAGTGATTCTGCCGCTTTACTCGGCATCGGGGAGACCTCAGCTGGAGTACTGCACCCAGTTCTGGGCACAGCACTTTAACAAGGATGTGGAAAAGCTTCAGAGAGTCCAGAGAAGAGCCACGCGTATGATCAGAGACTTGCACAGCAAGCCTACGAGGAAAGGCTGAAGAACCTGGAACTCTTCAGCCTACGAGAGATGGCTAAGAGGGGACTTGGTAGCAGCTTACCACTACATCAGGGGAACACATCAAGGGTTCAGTGAACAACTGTTCACCAGGGCACCCTTGGGGAAAACCAGGAGTAATGGTCACAGACTCCTGAAAGACTGTTTCTGGCTCAACATTAGGAAAAATTTCTTCAGTTAGGGGGTCCAGACTGCAAAACAGGCTCCCTCCAGAGGTGGCGCAATCACCTACCCTGGAAATCTTCCAAGAGGAGACTGGACAGTCACCTTGCTGGGGTCACCTGACCCCCAGTTGTCTCTCCAGCCTAATGCAGGGGGGCTGGACACGATGATCTTCTGAGGTCTCTTCCAGCCTTACAATCCATGAATCTCTAAAGCAGTGCACCCCTAATAGCAACCCTAAGTCTAGCATTGTATAGAAGCATTTCAACTGTCCCACTTCAGGAAATATTGGAGACGCAGGGTTTCCTCTGGAATTATAGTTCTTCTATTCAAGCAGTTATTTTCAATGCAGTCTCAAAAAAAGGCCACATCCACACATGTGTGGACCTTTGGTTCCCTGGGGACAACTAGCAGCAGCACAATTTATGCCACCACTAGTTGTCCCCAGGGAATGCCTGTGCTATGTGCCCTCTGGCACACAGCAAGTTACCCAGGAGTCAAAAAACATCCCCACACTGCTCTGTTGCAGCACTGAGAACAACTGAACATGCACTATGTGGTGCTGCAGACATGTCTGCGGCACCACATACTGCACAGCTGCGCTAATCTGGACGTGGCCAAAGTGAGCTTACAGGATCATAATTTATACAGTTATAACTTCCAGTCTTAATTGCTAAAACACTTTAGTAGTGGAGAGCATGGTAAAAAACAAAGAAAAAGAAGTTAGCCCATCACTGTGGTAATAAAACGTCTTTATTCCTCTTTCCAATCAGCCCATTCTTAAAGGGAAACTCCTCTACCTGTCCAATTTCTCTTGGCTCTTTTTACTACCTTGTTTTGACAACTGGGCCTTGAAATGCTTACTCTCATTGGGCCCAACTTTAAAGCTCCTCTTTCAGAGACCTGATAGCTCAAGGGACTGCATATAGGTTAAGGATTCCTTCCCCTGTTCAAATCCAGGTCACATCAACAGTGACCAAAAATAACTGCTACAGACCTAGCCTTCAGGGACTTCTATGGAGGAAACAGTGTTCTTGCCTCAATTCCTAGTGGATAGATGTGTGTCACATAACATCACCCAATGTACAGTAATTTATTGCTGGTCTCAGCAAAGACACCAAAGACTGAACTGATCACAGTAATGGCTTAGGGCTCATGTTTCTAGTGTGGATGAGAAAAAAATGACACGAGATGGGAAAGGTGAAGAAAATTCACATGACTATTATTTCTATGAATATCTTGCAGAAGGTTACATTTTCTAAATCTAGTTCAGTCTGGAATTTTCACCTCTGTAATCAAAAAAGTTTTCCTCCTCTACTATCACAGAGGTAAGGAGACTAGCGCTATGTAAGCATTCCTCACTGGCCCATGGTTCCATGAAACATTATCTTGAGCATCTGTGTTAAAATCAAAACCTGAGATAAAACTGGAAGAATTCAAGGTGACTTACCCTCCCATCTCCGACTGAGGAGTAGTTTTGGTGATGACAATGGTCTTCCCCAGCTTGGATTCCAAATCCACCTTATAGTCTCGGTGCCGCAAAAGCTCCCTTTTGACAGGCTGGGCTGGTTTGCCTAAAAATAAACAAATGCAAACAACAGAATTTTTCAGGAGTGGTTGGGAACTTAGAATGTAGGATCTCTAATTGACCTCTCTCAGTGGCAAACTATGGGGAGCTATCAAATTGTACAGTTCATGTTGAGATTTAAATAAAGAATCATCTTTACCTGCATTGTAAGGAAGGGAAGGGTGTTAGCAACAGATTAGAACAGGGAGATTGCTAAAGAATCACAGTTTAAGACAACCTAAACTCCTGCAGTTTAAGACTGAGAATTTTCCACTTCCTCCACCTCCATATAGAAGAAGAAAGGAAAGGAAAGGAATACGGTTCTTAGTAAGTGTTTCTGCCTTGGACTGTATTCTATGGCAAGCAGAGAAAAAGGAACAGAATGAGCCAGCCCTAAATTCCAATTGCTTCCATTTGGCATTTTTCTTCTAGCAGCTTTCCCTTTACACATTCAAAAGTTAGGTTACTCATTGCAAAATGAGGAGAGATTGCTTGGATTCAACGTGTTACCCACCATCTTTCTTCTCTCTCTCTTCTGTGAGCCTCTTCTCTGCAAGTTTCTCATATTCATCTTTGTCCCACTTTCGGCGGAAGTCCAAGTTCTTAGTCTGTGAGAGAACCAAATGAATTAGGATATATCACATTCTACACTCAGCAATAAGAGACCGAACCTGAAGAGAGCTTGAATGATTTGGTGTGCTGGGCCACACTGACAAATAAAGATCACTCAATTCCAGTCACCCCCACCTACCCACAGCCAGAAACAGGGGCTCTAGCACAGAAAGATACTGCTATGCAGGCGTAAAAAACCTGTCAAGAGGTTCTGCAAGGACTGAACCAAATACCAAATTAAATTTTCCAAGTTTCACAAAATACTCATCCCTGTCTTTCAAACAGGCACAAATACATGGATTACTTTTGTCTGTTTGGAAACAGGGTTTCCAAGCACAAAGTGAAAATTTTAAGTTTTCTTGATTAAGCCAATTAAATGTGAATCCAAAAGAGACCGTTAGGAAGCCAGATAAGGCAACAATAAACTCTTGAGAGTCTTAATGTGTAGAGATGCACATACATGCACAGACACAAACTGTGCATGAAGGATTAAAGAGCTTTTATAGGCATGGCTAGGAAATAAAAGAAACAAAGCAACAAGTCAGTTATTAGATCCAAGTATCCAACCTAATACTGATAAAACCTCTATACACTAGGCAAGACGTACACAAAATAAACTTTAAAAAAAACCCTCCATTTTCTCTAGTCAGATATTTTCATATCCCTCTTATTGTAAAGCCAAGACGTTGAGATCTCAGATGACCAACTGCACAAGATTCAGTCAGCTAGTCCATGACTAACTCTCCTTTCCTGGCTTTCAGAAAGAAAAAGAAGCAAGAAAAAAGGAAACATTTCTGGTGCAGACTTTTTGCACAGAAACCCACTTTAAAGACATTAAAATATATATATGAGTGGTTAGAATAAAACAGACTTCTCTTAATTTTATTTAACAGTAACAGAAGTATCAATATTTAAAATCCTCTTCATGTTTTTAATTTTTGAAAACTGATAAAAAGGAAAGTCTTCCTGTGGAAATCTCTTTGCTCATGTCTGGGGGAAAAGGGGATAGATAGCATGTGCTGGAGTAAAATGTATCCTCCCCTTGGTTAATCAAACCAAGAATCCAGTCAAGCTCCAAAGAAAATAAAAAACTTCATTTAAGACTACAGCAGCAGTGCAATCATTCAAAATTTCCACCTCCTGGCAATCCTTCCAACATAAAGAATAGCTACTGATGAGAATAAGAATGCCTGGGAGACAGGTAGCAAACTTATCATTTATTCCCAGAGCTTCTAAAGCATTTTAAGCATGTTATAACAAAGAATTTTCTTATTAGCTTCCCCAAGCAAGAAGAAAAGGAGATTCACAAAATGTAAATTAATGTTTTGGGGTATTTTCCAGACTCTATATTCTCCTACATAGAAACAGTATTATCACAAATCAAAGTTGGTTGGAGCCTGGAGAGAAGGCAATTTACTTGCTGCCTCACTCTCTTTTTATAATAAAAAGGATATCGTCTTTTGAAGATCTTTTACCAGTGTCCCTAGGCCAAACACAGTGAAATAAATCAAACCCAACTTCTGATCTAGCTGTAAAAAGGCCATCGCTAGCAATTCTAAAATAACTTTTTCAGATTGATCAAAAAGGGGTTGCTGGAAACCCCTAAATCTTTATCTAATAACTGCTCAGGGGTTACAAATAATAGTCTCCCAATAGAGGACATCAGATAGGAACTAAAAGAGTACACAAAAGCCTCATAATCATTGCAGGGCACAAACTGAAGAGACTTGTTCAATGTCATGTAGCAACACAACTACAATGCTCAGAACAGAACTCAGGAGTCCCAAGTCGAGGCTTCTGCTCTGACAAATGGACATGACACCCTACAGCCAGGAACAAAAGTCAGGGCCCCAATTTGGTCTCCTGTGCCGACAGACCACACAACCACTCAAACATTCTTTTTTCTGCTCACTTTTCACGCTCTAACTCCAAACAATGGAAATATTTGCCAAAGCAGAAACAACATATATACAAGTCCCTGTGGTGCTGACAGCTGGCTTTTTGGTACTACTATAGATTGTTAACGTGGTCTAGAATTGGCAAGCAGTTATAACAAATGCCAGAAGCCTTACCCTTCTAAATCCCATGCTCTCTTCATTCGACTTCAACACTACATTCTGAAAGGTTTTTCAGGCAGAACAGTCTCACAATCACACAGGATGGATTTGGCAGCTTACACAGCATCCTGGGCTAAGTCTAGTGGCAGTAGCAAGAGCCAAAAAGAATACGATCAAGGGGAATGAGGTTTCTTAACTCAGAAGCAGATGAGCAATGGGCACTCAAGATCTCCATACAGTATAACAATAGTACCAGAGTCATCTGTACACAGTCACTCCTCTTGCAGCTCAGGAACAAGGGGAAACAACAGCAATGTTCCTCAAGCAGCTCCTAATAGAGATATGTCTCAACCCCCATCTAGTTGAGTCAGAGAATTTCTTTGGAATTTGTAGAGAAATTCCCCATCTTACCTCTGTATGAAGTTTTGTTTAGAGGAAGGGAAGAGGAGTCAGACAGGGCCACAGAAAGTTGGGGACATTAATGTTTGTCTCTTGGTGGGTTTGGGGATGAGGTCACCAAATCTTTCTGACAGATATAAGGTCTTGCATCCCACTTGAATATATATTTTTCCTCCTGCCAGTACATTTTCTGTGAAGATGTCCCTCCTTTCCTACTTGTGACTCAGGAGCAAGTTTCCCTAGGTTTACAGCAGAAGGTAGCAGAACGTTTCAAAACTCCTCATATAAGAAGAATTTTGATTCTCCATAGGTATTTTTCTGTAGGGTCTAACTGAAGGAAGGTAAAAGTAACCTCAGATTTGTCTCTCTCTCCTTAGTTTTCCCCTCACCACCACACTATTGAACGTGAACGTATCAACTACAATTCTAAAGCCTTTGGCTCACAGTAATGGCTGATAACTGATGAATTCTATACACATAGACAGAACATTTTAAACATGTTGTACTGGAAATGTATTGCAACATATAGGCCTTCCATGTCAACATGGATAAATGTCAGAATATGATCCATTAGCAAGAGCTCTGGGACAACTACAGTTTTAATAGAGAAAAACAAAGCAGAAATTCACATGTCTTAAGTTACATAAAAGCAGTTTCAAGGAATTTCAAAGCAGTTATAAGAGCATTGGAAAACCTTCTGCAGAACTTATGCTGTAAAGAAGCCATTAGAGCAGAAAGAATCAGACCATAGCTCCTGAGCCACAAGTGGCTCTTCAACCACTGACCTACAGCTCTTTCACAGAATATAGTAGAGTCCCTTCCCCACTCTACCTACCTACTGCATGCACTGGAGGTACCTTTTTCTACACCTATGACCAAGACAGCAACATGCCTGATTTATCTTTACCAGCCAAGCCCTCCTGTGCAAGTGTTAAACCAGTGTGCTGGAGGGACACTTTGGAACTGGACTATTTAGCACAATTCCCTCAGGGTGCCCACACTGCTGGGGCTCTCTGGTTACCGCCGATTTCCTAGGCGGATCCCGACCCAGTCTGCACCCTGCCATGGCAGCCGCCAGCCACGGGCCATCCAGGATCACTGGAGAGTATAATTCAGGGTGCTCTCCCTTGGCCTCTGGGCCAAACCCAGCCTGGTGGGCTGGGAAATGTGACAGCAGGGAGCAGTGGCAATTAAGCTGCTCCTGCTTCCCCCACCCACAGATTTCCAAGTCCCGAGTGGCATGATCAGATTGGACCCACCAACCGGATCTGGGCCACGGAGGCAGAAAGGTCAGGCACCACTGGGGGCACCTATCCCAACAGCGGAGGCCGGCAGGAGCCGACCTCGCCCGACGGCTGCGCGGGACAGGACGGGAGAAACCCCGGTGCAGCCCTGACGCCTAAACGACGCCTCGCAGCGAACCGCGGGCGGGGGCGGGGGACAGCGCGGGGCGCCACTGAGGACAAAGCAAGGCGGGAAGACGGCTCCTTGGGGGGGCGCACG